CCTTAGGTGTGTCTATCGCTAGCTGCTCAGCCTGTACTCACTCAGCTTTTCTTTGTTTTGTTGGGACGGGGATCTCCCTTTTAGCTGAATGATGGAGGGTCTTACCCCAGTGGTTCTCAGCCTGTGGGTCGCAACCCCCACAGGGGCCACCTATCAGATATCCTGCATATCAGATCTTTACATTATAATCCACAACAGTGGCAAGATTGCAGCTATAAAGTAGCAACAAAATAATTTTATGTTTGGGGGTCACCACAACATGAGGAGCTGTATTAAAGGGTCGCAGCACTAGGAAGATTGAGAGCCAGTGCCTTAAGTTCTTTAAGTATGCCAGGCTGGCTTGAACTCGCCACCTGCCAGCCCCAGTCTCTCCGGAGGTAGGGTTAGTGGTTTATACCTCCATGCCTCGCTAGTGTTCTCAATTTTAGCTTCTCTTGTATTACCCAACATATTTTTATAACCAATAATTAAGAGGAAAAAAAGAATATTACAAATCACAGAACTCAATATTCCAGGATGGTGGTGTCAAGCTTGCTCAGAGCGAGTATATAAAGTAGAAAGAAAAGAGCATATGGTAGAGATTACAGGCGGAACCAGCTTCTGTGGACTAGCTGTGGCAGGCTGCCAATGAACTTTGATGTGGTCTGCCCATCCACCCTAGAAGTGACAGCCATAGCATGCACGAGCATTTGTTTCCTGATCATCACCTAAGACTCCCTTGGGCTCCCATAATTTGAACAAGGGCAACACTCTTCTGGGGCCACAGGCGGGCAGGAAAAACCTTTGCCGCCTTTCCCTCTGTAGAGCAGACCTCAGCCAGGGTGCCCGGTTTCCTCCTCCACTGTACACGTGCTCACAAGCATGGATGCACAGATGAATGGGTGCAGGGACAGACACACACACACACACACACACACACACACACACACACACACACACGAGCCCTCGGTTCCCTCTCATCCCCACTTACCCCTTCAACCTGCTTCCGAAGGTCTGCTGTCCTTTGAGCAAGTGTGTTTCTGGGTAATCTCCCACTCCTCCCACAGAAAGGCTGCAGCCTCCTCCTCAGGCCCAGGACTCCTCTGAAAAGTGGGAGGAGCCGTCAGCTTGCCCCAGGGAAGGGAGTTTCACTGGCATTCCTCCACGGAAAATGACAGGACAGGTCTTCTAGAACCATAAACAAAAGGGAAATGACCTCTTAAACGCCACTTTTCTCAGTTACTTTGTTTAGTTGGCAAAAGAAGGGGCCCTAATCAAAGAGGCCACTTTAGGAAGAAATCTTTACAAAAACCACCAAGGTTTCTTTTAGGAGTGCTGGGGATTGACCCCAGGGCCTCTCTCTTACACTAAGCACAGAATATGTCACCCAGCCACACCCTAAGCCTTTTATTTTATTTGCTTTGATTTTACTGAGAATGACTGGCAGCTGCTAGATTGAGCTGACCATCCTGTCTCAAGCTTCCTGGTTAACTGCCACTGTAGGCGCGAGCTGATGGTCAAAATGAGAAGTATATTCAAAAGCCTTTAATCCCAGCACTGACGAGGCAGAATCAGGGGTATCTCTGAGTTCAAACCCTTTTGAAAGCTCTTTGACAGGGCTTGAGCGGCATACCTCACTGTAAGCCCTACTAAGTGAGATTTTAATAAACAATTAGCAATCATCAAAGCAGATTTACAACACAGGCTGCTAACAGTTAAGTTGCAGATGAGGGAAATGGGGGTGCTCCTCTGAGGCTAAGGCCGTTATTTAGACCAGATCAGTTACAAAGACTTTAGGAGGCACTACAGTGTCTTTAGGGAATATTTTGGACGATTCTAAGGCTAAAGGATACTGACCAGAAAATAAATGGATTTCTTGTGGAATATGAAAGAAAATTTGATGGTGTTTGGCAGTCCGGGTGGTCTGCCCTGGACATTTCTAGAAGGAAATGTTCCCACGATTTTACTCGTGTTTCTTCTCCATAGCAGGGGTTTTTAGTCATGATGAATGTGCCGGGGGAGGGGTGACTAGAAGTCACAGAATTCTTCAAAATTTTAGCCAAAATTTTCAAGATGATCTCATTTCTCAAGATGATCTCATTTCTCATGCTCCTTAGGAAGCAAATGTGGCTATTACTAGCCCTTTGCCCTGACTGGAATACCTGAGGGCTCCCAGGAGTTTCACGTTACCCTTTTCCCTCCTGAAATACTACAGATTCTTCTGCAGTCTTCACCCCTCCCTAGCCACAGGTACCCAAGTCTGGCCGAAGGTTCACAGCTTGAGACACCTGCCTCGCTGATCTTTGATCGTCCCATGCCTACTTAAAATGCCTTAGCCCTCAGATTTCTGAATGGACCCCAACACAACGCAAATCAACAGTGTGCCCAAATCAATAAGAGCGACCTCTAAAGACACCCCAAAAGTCTACCTGCCATGAAGGCACAGATGTTTGGATGACAAATGTCTTTCTCCACTGATTTCATACTAGAGAGAAAAGAATCTCCACGCCTCCCACAAACATGGGAATCCTTAACTCATCTGAATTCTCTGTGCCTGCTCTCCTCAGCTGCCCCGTGTTCAAGGAGCCAGGGACAAGGTGGGAATGTGGGTAACAGTCTTCCAAACAGCATGGCTCCCTCTTGAAATCTGCCCCTCTCGTAGGCAGGAAGAGGAAGTATGGGCGTGAGTTTTGTCACCCCACAAAACTAGATTCGACACTGCTACTCCTAGCTGTGACCCTGAGAGGGTTGCTGTTTCTAGTCCCCTGTTTTCACCCACTTGACAGTTCTGAGGACAATATGGCAGAAGCTTGAATATTCTTGCCATGGTGACATGAAGCTTGGGACACTCTGAACAGTAGCGACAGTGTGTCAGGTCTCTTGGCTAAACAAAGTCCAAGGAAAAACGAGTTCAAGGGGGGAAACAAATACAAGTTATCTGTCAATTCCAGCACCTGTTCCCAGAAGCCCTGGGGTGCAGCTGCCAATGGCTCAGTCATTGAATCAACATGACTCCTCCTAAAAGGGTCCATGTTCTAGAAGTAACTTGGATCTTCTGATCATTTATACACAGCCCTACAGGAATAAGCTTCCAGCTCCACGAGGCAGGTTGGGATGCTCTGAAAGAGACAAGACATAGGGCCCCTGGACTGCCCGCTCACTGCTCACCCGAGAACATCACAGGATGGATGAACCCCTAACTGCAGACAGCATCATGGGATGGATGCTTTTGCCAATTGCATTGACTAACCAGTCCCTTCTCTGAATAACCTGTTCTACTGATTCCACGTGACTTTGCCCTGTCCTCCCTCCCTTTCATTTTGCCCTCCAGCAAGCCCTAGGGTGGCTGCTGCCTCAGGCCCCACCTTGCCCTCTCCTAATCAGCTGACTCGGGTCCAGCCCTTCCCTGCCCTGTAGAACGGCTGGGATCATAAATTCCTTCCTTGAGAAGCTGCACCTCTGCTAGGGTCTTGCCACATCAGTGGTGTGGAATTCCACAGCACAATGAAATATGGATGTATTTTTTTTGTCACAAAGATGTTTTGAGGCCCATTTATTAAGGAATACCTTCTCCCCTGGGGTGTATCTAGATAGAGCTGCCCTCTTAGGCCTCAATTCCAGCTGTTTTCAGATGAGGGTTCCTTCTTCTGTCTACCCTAAGGTTATCTGTATTTAAGTTAGCCTATGAAAGCCAGTATTTGAGACCTAACAAAGAATTCTAAACATTGAGCCAGGTGGTAGCGGTGCCAGCCTTTAATCCCTGCACGTGGGAGGCAGAGGCGGGCAGATGTTCAAGACCAGCCTGGTCTACAAGAGCTAGTTCTAGGACAGGCTCCAAAGCTCAGAGAAACCCCATCTCGAAAAAAACAGAAAACAAACAAACAGAAGAAATCTAAACATTGATTTAACACTGGTGATTGTTTTCTTAATGTATTGATCTTCAGATGTCTGGAGCCAAACTGACAGCATCCCTGAGCTTCTGATGTGCTGTTTCTACTTAACAGACAGAGGTGACAGGCTGAGCGAATGGCTCAGTCTTTTGCATTACAATCTCCAGAACTCCTGAACATTATCTTTTCTCGCAACAGATACTTCTGGGGTGTGTTTAGGGCTAAGACCTGCAGATGGGCAGATTAGATTGAATTCCCTGGGTAGACTGATAATGACACACAGAAACCCGTCTTCGCGGGAGGCAGGAGGTCAGAGGGACAAAGGGGCACTTCATTGAACATGAGTGATGACAAAGGGCCAAGGAATGCTGCAACCTAGGGAAGCAGCCAGAGCAGAGGGAAGAGATGAATTTTTCTCTGGAGAATGTGGAAAACAGTCCCGAGGGCAGACGCCTTCATTTTGAAGGAGTTTTAAACTCATTTTGTGTTCTGACCTACAGAACCATCACGTCTGAACTCAGGGAGTGTATGGTAATTCGTTCCAGTAGCAATGGGAGATGGGGGCCACTCCCTGACCCCTGCACACACCTCCACATCACTCCCAAAGACCAGCGAAACCCTTGGACGTGATGGGATATGTAATGTGTAAGTGACGGGTACTTCCTAACCATCAGGTCTTTCCTGCACCACCCCTGCCTCTTCTCCTTGACCCCCAGTAAACTATACTGGCAGCGCTGATTTCCAGAATCCTGAGAAGACCGTTTGAAGGCTAACTGCTACTGCTCTGCCCTCTGCCCCGTTCTTCCCTGGGAACACCAGAATTAAATTTCCTGTTCTAACTGCGACATCAGAACAAGCATATTATAGGCATATCCATCCATTCCAGGCCACTTTCTTGCTATTTTGTATTCTCAAGGAAGTGGGGTGGCATGTGAGAATTTAAAGCATTTGCTGACCATGGCTAATCTTTTTTTTTCCCCTTTCAGGAGCTTCCTCAGGGTGGTAAGACAAGACCTTGATGGCAACCTCAGGGCATTAGGATGTTGTGGGAAGGGTTGTCTGGCAGATGGCACCCCATCTGTAGGCAGTGCTGAGCACCTCTTCTTTCAGACTCAGGTACACATGGGCCTGGTACCTGCCACACAGTGGAAGCATGCAAGCAGCTACATGCTTGCTAAAATTAGTTTGTAATAATGAACAAGGCTCTAGGAAGCAACAGGAATCTGATATGAGTATAGCCAAGAACAGGCACAGTTTCAGTCATTCTGAAGCCCTCCTCTTCCGAGGGGACAGCTACTCACCGACTTCTGAGTGTCTGGAGAGGTGTCTTGGCACACGTAAGGTATCTTGGCACACGTCAGTCTGGATGCTGCTCCCCGAGCTGAGCCTCACGGGTCCTGCAAGGTGTCTCCTCACTGCTCTGCCCACTCCCCTGCCCTTGCATTGGAAACTCTCCTATTAAACTCTTCTCTAAGCTGAACATACACCTGTGTGCATGCGCACATCATACACAACCATTTAATTCCATTTCTTCATCTTATGCTCTGAGGCAGAGATTCTGAAAGCCAGTTTCATACAGAAGCAATTATTTGACATGGTCTAGACTGAGGTCCTCTGGATAAATCTGCCCTTACTATTTCTAATACATAAGATCTTCTAACCTTTATAAGCTCTAGAATTGTCCAGATGTTTCTACAGAAGCAAGTCTCCCTTTTAGGAGAAATTTAGGCTGTCGTGTGGCCACAAGGACAGACTTCTCTACAAAGAGGGAGAAAGAAGCACAAGGCGTCTACATTTGGGTAACACAATACTAATTGTCCTGATTGGAAAGCATGGCACAAATAGGAATTTCTTCACTTAGTAAGCACCCCAGTCACTCATTCTTCTATGAAGAAATAACTTTATTCTTTGAGAATTTCATACAATGTGTGTCGATCATATTCACCCCCCCACTCCTCCCGGATCCTCTCTATCCCCCTCCCAACTTCATGTCCCCTTTAAAAAATTTGATAGCCCATCCACTATAGTTTATGCTATCTATATACTTGTGGAGGGGGGGTGGGGGGGATCCACTGAAACATGGTTGATCTATCAGGAGCCACAGCCTTAAAGAAAACTTGACTCTCCTTACCCCAAAGTCACTCACTCTTGATACCTTCTCACCTCGGTATTTAAACTCCTGTTATTATTCCATCATGGGCATATAAAACAGAGTATATGCATTCTCCGAGCTGTCCATATACATATATACGTTCATTTGTTTGCAACAACTAATCACGCCACAATGGGGACTTCTTTTGCACACATCTCCTTGCATGTATGTGCACTAGGCAAGAACCATGGCAGCTAAGACAGCGTGTCTGCTTTCTACAGCTGCATGCTCTGACCTCACATGTCATGAATTGTCTCAGAATC